GAAAAAGATGAGGGATCCCTGTGGACGGATTAGACCGACTCAGCAGGTTTCATGTCCAATACTGCTGAACAGACAAGTGGGATCAGCCAACAGCAGATTAGCAAGGGAGGAAAAAGAATAGCATTTTGTTTAGACTTTAACCAGAGTCTAAACAAAATAAACTGGATAATATTTTACAGTAAATGTTTGTTTGTTTTTCTATAAACCACAGGACAGAAGAAAGATGACGGACAGAGACCACAGACTGTTGTCTGTTGATCAGTTTGGAGGAATTTTCTCTGAATCCACGTTCAGTGTCCCCAGGTTTCTCCCTCACCTGTCTTTATCGTCTTTATCGTCTCGGTCTAAACTCCTTCCTTCGACTTCAGCTTTGAAACATTAGCTGCTCAGAAAACAGACGTCATTTTGAACCGAGCTGGTGGCAGAAGGTCGTTCTCTGTGGGGCCCGTAAATGTTTTATGGGGAAGTGAAAGCGTTCAACACATTTATTAGGCCTTGAGATTATAAAGCTTCATTTACGGAGGCCTGTTAAGTCTGGAGATGTTCAACAAACACACCTGACACTAAACCTCCCTCTGTTACTGACTACAGAACTGTTTCTGCTACAGTTAACTCACTGTGAAACCCCAGCCTGTTTAGTTGAACACTGATATATTGGACTGAAAGAAAGAGATTCTCAAAGAGAGTTTCTCTTTTCTAAACTTTTATAGCAGTAAATCATTGGTCAGTAAACAAAAGATTCAAACTATTTATGTAAACTTTTTTTTTTTTTTCACAACATCTGATGATCTGTCACGGCCCACTAATGTGCCACGGCCCACTGGTTGAGAATCACTGTTCTACCTAATGCAGATGACCTCCTGTTTTATGCAAAGACTTCCAAATCACATGACATTTTTCCATAAATATTGTCTGCTGGAAGTTGACGGCACATGAAACTGAAGCCGGGAGAAAAGCAAACAAACAGTAAATGCTTTCAATTTCACTGACGGGGAAACGTGAGAAGAAGAAGAAGAAGAAGAAGCTGCCGAGACAGAAACGCTGAGCTCTGCAGCTTTTACTCCAGAGAAGAAAACAATAAAAGAAACCAAGGAGGTGAAGACAGATGATACTATTCCATCCCTGCAGGACTCGGAGGACGAGACCGCCGCCAACCAAGCAGCCCTCAGTTTAATGAGGCACAAATTTTCTCTGACACAGAAAATCTCTCATGTGTGAAATTATATCAGGTGGTTTTATATTCATATCTAAAAATGAGATTCAATAAAAAGTCAAATGGCTGAAGATGTTCCTCTCGCCTCTAACAACACAAGGACATGAAGCAAAGGTCAAAAGGTCAAAGGTCGTACCTATGAAGAGCTGGCTGTTGAGCTGCAGGTGGAAGTGTCCGTCAGCAGGAGCTTCCTGTGTGGCTGCAGGAAGGTCGTCCAATCGGAGCGAGGCCTCCTTGATGTTCCGCTCTGCTCGGACCATGTGCCACCTGTTGTCATTCAGAGGGACTGCAGCTTCCACCTGAACCTCCAGTGGTCCATTGCCAACGTCGAAGGAAAACAGCACCTGAGTGGAGGCTGATAAATCGAAGAAGAAAAAAATGTTTTTAAATTAGGGACAGAGCAAAATCACGAGTTTATATTTTGGAATTTTTTTTCTCTGAAGTTTGTGCTGGAACTTTTGTGAAGTTCCTGGGGAGAGATGTGTTCTTGATCAAAGATTTAACTCCAGGCCTTGTTTTTTTGCACGTCACTGTACACCCTACTGTAATTCCACAACAAAACAAAACAAATGAGAAAAAAAATGCAGATCAAATAAGTTTTCTGTTTTTGGATAAAGTTATAAATCTGATTCAGTTTGTGCAAATGGGACCAGTCGTGGAAATGAGTCATCTCTCCGAGGAGACAGCTTTATATCTGCATAAAAACACCAGCCAAGGAGAGGAGGAATGGTGATGCATCCAAACACACAGCTCAAGCCGTTCATATCAGACCTGCCACTGTCACAAACCAAAGATTAGAAATTAGATTAACATTATTTAACAATAACACAATAACCCCAATATTTAACAATAACACAATAATATAACACACAATATTTTATTTTGAGACTTAAAGCAGTATTACTACTATTACCACACTAGGACCAGAACTCCACCACTTCTCAAATTTATTTAGATTTAATTGTCAATTAAAAGTTGTAAAATATCATACAAAGATTTCCACTCTTTCTACATTAGTTGCAACTTTCAAATTCAGCACCATGGACAGATCCAGAGAACAGGAACACTGTCCATACGGACATTGGTTCAGCACCATGGACAGGTCCAGAGACCACTAACACTGCCCATACGGACATTGGTTCAGCACCATGGACAGCTCAAGAGAACATGAACACTGTCCATACGGACATTGGTTCAGCACCATGGACAGCTCAAGAGAACATGAACACTGTCCATACGGACATTGGTTCAGCACCACGGACAGCTCCAGAGAACAGAACACTGCTTATACGGACATTGATTCAGCACCATGGACAGGGGCGCCGGTCTGGTCAGTGACAAATTTAATTCAGCACCATGGACAGAACATCAGCCCACATAGTGCACTTTTTTTTTTTGTTTCAGGACCCCGGACAGAGCTTTAACACCATGACTGCCGGTTCTCTTCAGCACCACAGACAGCGCCACAGCTCCTCTCTAAACAGAGAGAGATTTAAGTGTGGACTGTGGAGCGCAGAACAAAATGAAACAATCCAACAAATATCCAGGCGTCCTGGAGTAACTTGATTTAGACAGTGTTGTCGGGTCTCAACATGATGTTACACACTGATTGCTGGCAGCTCAAAGACCATAGCAGCAGCATTAAGAGCTGGAGCAAACACAATGACAATGATTTCCCTGAGGTGGGGGGTGGGTGGGGCGTTGGGGGGAGCAGCAGCGTCTGTGTATTAGGTCCTGTTCTTCAACAACAAAGAATACAAGAAAAAGACAAAAAGACACAGAGTCAACCTGAGTCCATGGTGCTGCCAGCTGTATGTGAACGCCTGATGATGTATGAACCACACACACCCCCCCCCACACACACAGACATGCTCAGTACACAGCTGTACCTTCATGTAGTTCATCACTTTTAACACAAGGATGCAGTATAAATGACTGCAGCACTGCAGTGTTCAGATCTGATCAGATATTCTGCTGCAATGATGAGTGAAAAAAAAAAAAAAAACTAAACAGAACTGACTTTTTTCATGTAAAAAACCTAAAACCCCTATAGCAGACGTGTTCAAAGTCTGGCCTGAGGACCAGCCATGGCATTTAAATGGCTTTACAAGGTCCCTGACTTCTAAACGTTCGATGGAGCGTTGATCTTCTGAGATCTTGGCTGTTTCTGTGTTTGAGTTCAGTTGTTCATAATAATAAAGCATTTTTAAAAAAAAGTTTGGAAAAATCCTGAGGTGTTAAACAGAGAAGGTCAAAGGTCAAGCTCCTGTTTCTTCAGTTCTTGATAATCCAACTAAACCTCACACCTGCTTAGAAGGTGTTTCCTAAATTAACAGCCGGAGAACTGTTTCAGTTCTTTCTCTCCCTCTCAGCTGCTCAGTGAAAAAACTCGGTTGATGCCAACACTGAATTCGATTAAAAGCCTTTTTGTTAATGGGTTAATGACATTCTTAAACGTACTCTAAGGCCAGTCAGGCAGCAGCACTGAAGCAACCTCACACTCATCTTCAAAGGAAAGTGTTTCAACGATTGCATCAGAATTTCTTTCTTCTCACTGAAGCCTCTGATCTGCTGAGCTCCTGAACACCCACTGCTACAAAATCTAAAAACAGCAACACAAGTGTGAATGGACTCACAGCTCAGTTCAATCCGTATGAAATCTTTAATGCCCAGGTTCTCCAGGAACACACCGGAGGAGGCGGTGGTTTTAAAGAGGAAGGAAATGTCGGCGCTCAGCTCTCCGTGGAAGGTGGGGAAGTGGAGGTACGACGTCTCCTTGTCGAAAAAAGCAGCGTTCCACAGGCTTTCTGAAAAACACAGACACAGACCATGACGACGGTGAACGACGTGGCCCTGGTGTCACCTGGTGATGGTGTCACCTGCAGGTCCAGGTGAACTGAGTTAGAAAACAAAGGCTGCTGCGACTGGAGCTGAACGAGTGAAGAAGAAGAAGTAGAAGACGCAGAAGAAGAAGAAGAATATTTCTCCTTTCCACTACACAGGAGAGTCAATCATTCTGATTTTCCTGTCTTACTGGAACTGGAACAGTGAGAAGAAGAAGAAGAAGAAGAAGAAGAAGGAGGAGGAGAAGAAGAAGAAGAAGAAGAAGGAGAAGAAGAAGAAGAAGGAGAAGAAGGAGGAGAAGAAGAAGAAGAAGAAGAAGAAGAAGTGACGCCATATAGGGGGTGGGGGTGGGGGGGGTCACGTACTGTCTCCATGGATTGGAGCGGTCCAACACGGTAGACGGCTTCTGACCCCGGTCTCTGAAGGTCACCCAGAACCAGGGACCTGACTGGGAGGCTCTCTTTGTGGGTGAGCAGACCTGAGTCCTCAGTCCTGGAGCAGGAGTGAGAGAGAATATCAGGACGCAACGATGACATCACTGTGATGTCATCGTTACCCGCTTTCTTATATATTTAACATTTAACATAAAGACAATTCTCTGAAGATGAAATTGGATGAAAAAAAATACCAGTACCAGTCCATGCGGTCTGCATCACAGTTACAGTAGTGGTGTGGGTCCACGCAGTCGCCCTGCAGCCCACACGCACACTGTCGGCTGCCCGGCTGGGCTCCACCCCAGTAGGTCTGCAGACGACCAGACCCGCGGCCGCCCAGCCACCAGCTGAAGGGAGAGCCCTCTGAGAACAGACAGCACCAGAGGTGAACCAGTGAGGCAGCTGGGACCAGGTCAACTTTAACATCTGTGTGTGGGAGGCGTTCGTCCACAAATAGAAGTGGAAATAAAAACATGACAGCGCTTTTCTCACTGTGAAATCTCTGTGACCTGAAAGACTTCAAACCAAACTGCACATATTAAACCTCCAAACTGGAGCCATGAAAACATTGTTTCCTTGTTGACTTCAGCTCGGGAACGCTGCCAAGTTTCCCTCAGCTTTTAGCTATTTTGTGTTAAAAAAAAAAACAACAAACAACAAAACTTCCCCAGAGTTCATTGCTGGAAAAGTTTGTTGCTGCGAGAAACTGGAAAAAAAAAAAAGAAGGTCTTATGTAAGTGAGCAACATTTAACATCAACAACCTTTAAACTATTTTTTGGAATTTTCCTGTCCAAAACAAACACTTTTTTCATTTAATTTATTGTTAAAAAGACTCTACATCCATCCATCCATCCATCCATCCATCCTTCCATCCATCCATCCACCCTTCCATCCATCCATCCATCCATCCTTCCATCCATCCATCCTTCCATCCATCCATCCTTCCATCCATCCATCCAGGATACAAGCCAGAGATAAAAGCCGAGGCCGTACCTGGGGTGTTGAGGAGGCGGGACCTGCGGCAGCGGTAGGACAGTTCCTGTTGGCAGTGCTCTGATTGGCTGATGACAGCCATGAGCTGCTCCTCTTCAGTCATGTAGTCAAGGTGAACGGAGTAAAGGTTCCCACTCGGAGACGGTCGGATCCTGGTCCGTTCTGTGTTGTTGTGTTGGATCACCATCCACGTGTCGCCCTCTACTGACACACCAGGAGAAAGACACCAGAAACATGACTGCTGTGAAAATGACTTCATTTAATTTGGTGTCAATTTAACACCACTAATACTATTACTACTATTACTACTACTATTACTACTACTACTACTACTACTACTACT